TATATATATATATATATATATATATATACACGTAAATTGAAACGTCCTGCCGAAGCGGGCGATGAGATTTCAATTCCGGCTGCCGATAGCTTCTTACAGGCGACCCCCCAAACTTTCTTTTAGTGCCGACAGCAATCAAGTTCGTTTTTTCCTGTATGAGTCAAGATGAGGGATCTTGAATTTTACAGCAAACTTCACTTTTGCAATCTCCTTTGAAAAAGCATGGATCAATTGCAATCTTCTTTTCTCAGTATGCCTCTCCACTTTGCAATATGAGAGATAAATTTTCATCACTATCAAGAAAATAAGTGATGAATATTCATCATCGGTTGAGTGAGTGTCACTTACTAACGACAAAAATTGAAGATCCTTTTAACATTTATGCTCTAGGAGTGATTCCCTAAATCATTCTGCTGATCATTTACTCCATTTTTGCAAGCTATCATCAAGTTACAAAATCTAGATTCTCCATAATAACATATCTTTTTATTTTGGCTTGCTCTAAGTGCATCCCTTGTGGTTCTTAGCATAAGTCCTCGCTCAGTTCATACTCAGTTCATCTTTCAGGACATTGGATCCAAAATTATGTCAAAGTTACATCAGAGCATTACTAGACATTAATGAAAGAGCAGCATGAAGATAAAAACGCCTATGGTAGGAAGATATTGGATGCCCGTGTAGTGAGCTTAATACAATAGACCGCATAAACCAGGTTCCCCTTCCCTCCATTTATAAGGTTGATGTATAAAACTACGTACACTATAATTTTATATGACCAAGTATTTGATTTACTAACTGATTTATATAAAAGAAGTTGCTAATCTGACTTGGCGAACTCATTAGCTCTCTAAAGGAAGTGCTGGCAAGTTGTTCCTATGCTTAACGAGCACCCTTAAATGCACCTTGAAATAAGTAAGATCTCACGAGCTTATCATAATCTTGGCGAATAATGCTGACTCTGAGCAATTTCGTGGTAGTTTAAACAAGTTCATACTGGTTATGGGCAAGTTCACGCTTGTTTTGGGCGAGTTTGAGTTCCCTTAGACCAAGTTTTTCAATCTTTAAAATACTTGGATATCCAACTATAATTATGTTTCGTTAAAGTTTTTTTATTTTGTCTCCTCATAAGATAAACTTCTGTACATTTCTGAATCGGGCAAAAAATCTGCACTCAATCATAATCCTATACCAATTTAGCACTAACTAGGATAATACGTATTGGTATGCAATGAAACGGCAAAGTCATGATCAGTCTAGTTTCACATGTAAACCACCCGTCTTATTATGAAAAGTTCATCTGGCAAAATTAAGTTTAGAGTTAACTAAGTTCATACAAATGTTAAGTTTGAAAAGAATCTTATTTGTCATGAAGCATTAATTATTGAAAAACAACAGCTAATATGTTATGTTGAGAAAGATTACCAGGATTGAACAAAAATGACGTAACTAGGGATATGACTTGGCAAATATTCAGAACTTGATCAACTCTTTTGTACATTTCTGAAAGGAAATATCATAATGTTAATCAAGTCATATTAATATATCACAACGTAAATAAGAGATTGCATCACGCCGCAAAACATCAATTTTGCATTAATATCTAAAGTTAGAGGGGATGAAATGAATTAAGCATAAATCATTCTGAGTGTTCTTTCATCCCTCTGCTCCGTATTTGAATTAGGTCTAATAGCAGCAACAAGGTTCAATAACCTTGGAAAATCTGGCTATTTGTTGATAAACGAAACCATTTCTGAAGTGCTTAAGAGTTATTTCATGAAGGCTGACAAAGAAAATCTACAAATAGTTCTAAACCAGTAATTACATACATACCAATCAATTCCTATGTATTTACATATCTCACACCTAAACTTTACTCTTTACATTAATAACACCCAAATCTCTCATATCAAAGCAAACATACCCTAAACCCCTACCTGCACACCCATAAGGAATTCTTTGATTGGTAGCTTGGTATATATGCAATAAACATGAAATCAAGAAATTAATAAAGATCATCATGGATTTATATGATCAAATGAAAAGACAATAATGTTGCGTAGAAGTGCCAACGAGTCAAGTCGAGCTCAAGCCGCCCTTGGCTTGAGCTTGATTAATTTTATCGAGCTCAAATCTATGAGTTCGAGCCGGCTCGCAAGCCTGTTTTCCCTTGGCTTGAGCTTGATTAATTTTATCGAGCTCAAGTCTATGAGTTCGAGCCGGCTCGCAAGCCTGTTTTGTTTAATATAAAAGAGAGAAAATGATATTAATTTTAAATAAATTCAGAATAAGTTGACAAATATAATAAAGAATTAGAAGATAAATAATACTTTACTCTTTACATTAATAAAGAACTGAGCTCGATGTTTAGGGTAGTTTGTGAGCCGGCCCGTTTAAAAAAAATATAACATAAAACATACTCGTTAGTTTGTGAGCCGGCCACTTATCGAGCCGGCTCATGAGCTAGCTTGACTCACTTGCACCCCTAATGTTGAGTTAATCCCATGAGCCTAATTGTTTTTATCACAAGATTTTAATTGGCTTGTTAGTAAGGACAAATCTTATTTCGTGAGGTTGAATACCAATGAGCTCTTATGTTACCTTTGCGCAAGATATTTCACTGCATTCTCATAAAGCATAAGTATTCAAAATTAACATCACTTATTTTTTGCGTTCATAATCGTTAAGTTGCATCCATAGATAGAAGCTTATGCGTTAATTTAAGCAAGTGAAATCATAATTATTGTACTTATAGCATGGTCACTAACAAGTTAACATAACTTCACCTGTTTACCAACAATAGACATACTCTAAACTCGTATTTGTATGGCTGAGGGGTTTATTGGCTTGTTGATAGGGACATGCTTTGGTAAACCCAATTTGTAAAAAAAGATAGGGATAATATTGAAATTTATCAAAGAAAAATCATTAGTCTTCTACAATTTTTAAGCACCTTCATTGGCTCGCTGCCAACAAAAATTCAGTAGCTCGGTTGCTTTTCCGCATGAATGGAGAAATTAGAAATGTAAAGATTTGAAATAGACCAGCATAATTTCATTGATAGGATGAGGGTTATTTAAAACAAATTACGATAGGCATAATAATAGAAAGTAATAAAAACAAAATAAAATAACTATGAAAGAAAATAAAACACAATAAAGCACAAAAGGAAAAACATAATCATGGAATAAAAGCAAATAATAAGTCATAATGACGTAAGGATAGCCGTTATAACCTATTACTTCCTCTCAAATTGAAACACAAATATCAATCATGTTCAACTTGGACTTAAAGACATCGAACAAAGAGCGATGCAGATTATTGGAGAGGATGTCCACTAGTTGACCACTAGAGGGCACATATGGAACACAAATCTCCATTGACTCGATCTTTTCCTTAAAGAAATGTCTATCGATCTTCACATGTTTGGTACGATCATGTTAGACTGGGTTGTGAGCAATATTGATTGCAGCCTTATTATCACAGAATAGCTGAAGCGGAACAAAGGCTGGCATACGGAGTTCGCGAAGCATGATACGTAGCCAGAGTGTTTCACAGATTCCTAAATACGGATCAGAATTCTGCTTCAGCACTACTTCGGGCAAGCACATACTATTTTTTGTTTTTTCATGTGATAAGATTGCTTTATACAAATAAACAATACCCCGAGTTGGCATGCTAATCATGAACTGATTCGGCTCAATCAGCATCTGTATAAACAATAATAGACCAAGAGGTGTGGCGGGAAAAGAACAAAAAATGAGTCTGGTGTACTTTTTAAGTAGTGGAGAATCACGTGGGCAGCTTGAAGGTGGTGCTCGTAGGGGTCATGCATGAATTGACTCACTATTCCAAGTGCGTGACATATATCAGGATGAGTATGAATCAAATAGATGAGTTTTCTCACAAGACGTTGATAATGAGTTTTGTTGACAAGTAAAACATTAGAATATCAAATAATTTTTCATTAGGATTCATTAAAGCAACATGTTAGCACAAAAGAAGGTTCTATTCTAGGAAATCAATCACATATCTGCACTGAGATAGAAAAATTTCCTGAGAGGACCGAGCCACTTCTATGTCTAAGAAGAACCGGAGAGATCCCAAATCCTTCATCTCGAAGAATGAAACAATGATGTCTTTTAATGACTCCAATGTGCGGAGATCATTACTTGTAAGAATAATATCAACATAAACAATAAGGATAGCTACCTGGCCTTTAGAGGAGTGTCAAAAGATTAGGGTGTGGTCCGATTGAACATGAGTGAAATCATGATCCACGGCTACCTTTGTAAATTTTTCGAACCAAGTGTTGACCTCATTTTTAGTGAGGTCTAGTCTTCCTCTTAGGGTTTAGGATCTAGCCTTAGGGATCTCCCTTCGACTATCTTAGAACCTTAGAAATTTGACCCGCCTCATTTTAGAAATTCAACTCGCTTCTGTACTCTTTTGTGGTTCCAAGTGTGTGGTATCGACTTCTAGCATTTAGAAGAGTGAAACCAACATGAGGAAACCCAAAAGGGATCCCTATAGGACCTTCCTGAGTCTTAGGGTGGCTTTTTGCACAATTCGCACTCCCGCGCGCACAAATTTCGCAATTCGGAGAGTCAGCGCGTCCGATCGCCTCATTTCGCATCGCTTGTAATGTTACGCGTCGAAGGCTCGAATAAACCTTTTGAAATGATCGATCGCGGGTCGAAATTTTGTGGAATTTGAATTTTGACGCGTTTCTGACCCGATTGTCGACGACGTCGTCCGAGTGACCCCGGATGACAAAAAGAACTGCGCTGGTGCAACCGGAACGTCAGTTTTGCCTAGAGAGGACACCTATTTTGTTACGTCGCCGCGCGCGAGTAAATCAGGTTTTTATTTAATATATATATATAT